TTATCCTATCTTTGGAGGTCAGAGGAAAGGCAGGCTGCTTCTCAGCAGAGTTTGTTTCCCTTGACTTCAAAGGTCAAGGTGCTTATCAGCTAAGTTCCCTTTTTCGAGCTCCAAAGTCTGTAGGTCCCTGTTGGGGAGGGGGGGAAGCTGCTGCTGTTTGGAACCCTAACACTTTGTATTATTTTCTTTGTTTTTATGTGATACTCATTAAAGGAAAAACCACCAAAATTTTATTAAAATCCCAAATAGATATGCACCCAATTCAGCAACACCCATTTTTCAGAGACATTCAGATTTAAAATTATAGATTGACTCCAACTTCAGTTCCTCATTCTAATGAATAAACAGGTCATCCAGACAAAAACTAAACAAAAAAAGGGGAGTTAAATTATTTTTTAAATCAAATGACCCTACCCTGCAGGCATTTAGAAAACATTTCATCCAAATACCAAAGACTACACTTTCTTCTTAAAAATTCCTAGAATAGTATGACAATGAGAACACAACATACCAAAACCTATGGGACACAATGATGGTCATCCTAACAGGAATGTTTTCAGTACTAAGTTCTTACATCCTCAAACTGGAGAGATCTCATATCAGTCATTTAATGATTCACCTGAAGGCCTCAGAAAAACAAGAACAAACAGCACCCGTAAGACTAGATGGGAGGTGATAATGAAAATGAGGGCTGAAATCAATGAAATACAAAGGGAAAAAACAGAACAAAACAATAGAAATAATCAATGAGAGGAAGAACTGGTTCTGTGAAAAGATTAAGAATACTAATAAACTTTAGCCAATTTAACCAAAAGAAAGAGAGAACTCAAATTAATTAAATCAGAGATAAAAAAAAAAAAAGGAAGCATTATCAGCAGGGTGTGGTGGTACACACCTTTAATCCCAGCACTTGGGAGGCAGAGGCAGGCTGATCTCTATGGGTCCAAGGCCAGCTTGGTCTAAATGGCAAGTTCCAGACCACGTGGTGCTACAGGGAGACACTGTCTCAAAAAGACCCTCTTCCCCCTAAAAAAAAGAAGCATTATAACAGATAATGAGGACATTCAGAGTACCATAAGAACATAAAACTTGCATTCCACTAAATTATAAAATCTTAAAGGTAATGAATTTTTAGATATGTATAACCTACCAAAATTAAACCAAGATGAAGTATACCATTGAAACAGACCCATAACAACCAATAAGATAGAAGTAAATAAAACCCTTTCAAGTAAAAGAAACCTAGGACCAGCTGTATACAGCAAAAAATTCTACCAGACATTCTAAGAACTGATACCAGTATGTATCAAATCATTCCAAAAGATAGATAAGGAAGGAATACTTCCAAATTCTTTTTATGAAGCCAGTATTACTATTAAGGCTAAAATCTTTTGTGATATAATGGTAATTAAGAACTTTGGAGCAGGAAAATCCTGAGACAAGAGATAGGTATGGGGGAGGAGAGCAGGAGACCCCCCCAACACCTGCTCCCTATGGTTGCCCAGGATGGAAGTCTTTGTTTTCCAAAGCTTTCACCTGTAACCTTTGCTACCATATATACCTTGCTTAATTGTCACATGTACCATTTTACTTATCTATGTGCTGTTTTGCCTTTTGCTAACATTTCCTCATTTATGAATATAAAAGCCCCCCAAAACTGGAGGAAGCTACTGGCTCCCTGACAAAAGGATCCGTGGATCAGTATGTCTGCATAAAATTATGAAACTCCCACTCTTCACCTGCCTTTGCTGTTGATTTCAGATTTTTCTGTAACATTACATTGATGATAAAACCAGACAAAGATCTGAAACAAATAACAAACAAACAAACAAACAAAAAAACCCAGAAAATTAGATGCCAGATTTGATGATGAACATAGGCATATTCTCAATAAAATACTTGAAAACAGAATGCAAGAGCACGTCAAAAAGATTAGCCACCATGATTAAGTCTCCTTCATTCCAGAAATGAAGGGATGTTTCATTATACATAAATCAGCAAATATACCCACCACAGAAATAGACTCAAGTTCAAAACCATATGATCATCACATTAGATACAGAAAACACCTTTGAGTTCATCTATTCATGAGAAAAGTAATGGAGAACTTGGGGATACAAGTGACATACCTCACCATATTATGGCAGCATAGAGCAAGCACACAGACAGCATAGAATAGAGAAAATTCAAAGTATTTCCACTAACATCAGTGGGGTGGTTTGAATGAAAATGTCCCCCATAGGCTCCAAGTATTTGGACATTTTGTCCCCAGATGACAGCACTGTTTTGGGAGATTTTAGAAGGTTTGTCTATCCTGGAGGAAGCATGTCACTGAGGTTGGGCTTAGAGAGCTCTTAAGCCTTGCCAGATCTCCAGTCTCTTGCTTCCTGTGCCTATGTGATAATGTGAGAGCTTAGCTTCTGCTGCTCCTGCTCCAGCCACCTCCAGCCACCATGCCTCCCTGCCATGATGGACTGTAATTCCCCTGGAACTGTAAGCTCAAATAAACAGTTTCTTCTATAAACTGTTTGGGTCAGTGTTTCTCTCACAGTGAACAGAAAAGTGACTAATACAATCAGGAATGAGACAAGGACATCCATTCTCTCCATTCCTGTTCAATATAATAGTTGAAGTTTTAGCAACAACAAGAAAGGAAATACACTCTAAAAGGAAGAAGTCACAGTATCTCTATGTATAGATGTTATGATTCTATATATAAAGGACACTAAAGAATTCCACGGAAAACTACCAGAGCTGACAAACACATTCAGCAAGGTAACGACATAAAATTAATACACATAAATGAGTCACACTCATATACAGCAACAGCAAACATACAGTGAAATAAAGCAGCTAAATAACCTCATGCATGAAAGCCTCAAAAACCAGCCTTCCATTACCAGGCATTGTGACCCCCACTTCCCATGTAGTGATTCTTTAGTCAGAGGGCAATTGGTTATTCTCACCAACAGTCAAGGCACTGATGCACTTGGGGGCATTTCACACTTTCCAAAGGGTTTCTGTGGGCATCCTTTATTCTTGTTAATTATACCTCATCCCAAACTTTCATTTCCTCAGAGACCTGCCTCCCTTCTTGCTTATATCTTTCCACCCACAATATTTCTCCTCTTTACTTCCTTTTTATCTATGTTCTACATTCTGACCTCCCTTAGGCTAACGCCTTCATATTGCCCTCCCTGTTTCCTGGCTTCCACATGTACTCCATGTTAGACACAGCACACTGAAGATTTTAAGCCAGGATCCTCATAAGAGAGAAAACATGAAATATTTTTGCTTTGGGGCCTGAGTTAACTCACTTGGAACAACATTTTTTCAATCCCATCCGTTTCCTGCTTCATAATTCATAAGGCTCATTAACATTTCATTGTGTATTTGGAACACAGGTTCATTATTCATTCATCAGTACAACATCTGAGTTAACTCCATTTCCTAGCTATTATGAACAGAGTAGCAATGAACATAGATGTTCAGGTGTCCATTTGGAGGAGGGCAGAGTCTTTTGGAATATGCTTGGAGTGATTTAGCTGGGTAGTATGTAGTTTTATTTGTAGGTTTTTTGGGTTTTTTTTTTTTTTATAGAAACTGCCAGAGTGATTTCAAAAGTGGTTGCATTAGTGCATACATTCACCAGCAGTGTACAGTAGTTCCCATTCAATGGACAGGAGGCTTCCACTTTAGCTAAGGAATTATTGGCAGTTGATCACAGCTAGGTGAGTAAGAGTTGATCTTCTCTAAGGGACAGTGGGAATGTTGCAAGGTAGGCTAAACACACTCCAGTGGATGTACTTACACCAAGACAGATGGGTACACAAACTTGACTTGATAGGCTTTAATATGTAAGACAATGCATGAAATCCTGTGGGAGGGCTATGCAGATAGGGGAGGTCTAAATATGATTAAATGTAGTATATGAAGTCCCCCAAACTTTAAAACAAATACTACCCAGCTAAATCACTCCAAGCATATTCCAAAAGACTCTGCCCTCCTCCAAATGGACACCTGAACATCTATGTTCTTTGCTACTCTGTTCATAATAGCTAGGAAATAGTTCCCATTTCTCCACATTCACAGCAGAATTTTTTGTTATTGGTATTCTTTCTTGATGGCAGCCATACTGAGTTGGGGGAGACGGAATCATAAATCTGCATTCTCCTTGTGGGTAAGGACGAGAACAGTGTCTAAAGTGTTACCCCAACATTTCTATTTCTTCTTTTGAGAACCTCCTGTTTAGATCTGTAGACAGTTACATGTTTTCTTGCTGGTGTTGACTGAATTCTTTGAATATTCTCATCAATGATCTCTGAAAAGCATTGCTGCTGAAGTTTCTCTCCCACTCTGTGGGCTGCTTCATCACTGTATGAGTTTCCTTTGCTGTCCCATTTGCTGATTCTGGGTCTATTCACTTTTCTGCTGCATTTCTAATCAGAAAATCATTACCTATATTTATCTGGTGAAGAAAATGCCCCACATTTTCTTTCTTTCTCCCCACCCCCACCCCGTTTGGGACACATTTTGTTACAAAATGAACAAAACACACCACTTCATGGTCAATCTAGAAGGGATGAATGGGTCACTGGTTAAAAGCACCTACAGCTCTTGCAGAGTTCAGTTCCCAGCATCCATATTGTGTGGCTCACAACCACTTGTAACTCCAGCTCCAAGGGATCTGAGGCCCTCCTCTGGCCTCCACAGGCTCCACCTGCACACATGTGGGACTCTGCACAGACACACATACACAAATAAAAGTTAAAAAGTTTAAGCTTCCCTCTAACAAACTCCCTACCCAGTTTTTGTCACCTGCAAACCTTGTAATCTTGTAGCATCCAATCACTCTGTTCTAAAGAAATATTGGAGTTCTACTGGCAACGTGCTCCAGCTATCTATTTTTAGTGACTGAGCTATGGCTTGGACCCCCTATGTCATGTGGTGGCACATGTGAGACTCAATTCTACTCAGTCTGATTTTTCTTTCCAATTGCACCCCAAACTCACCTTCTCTCCATCTTTACACCTACCTCTCCAGTGCACCTTCATTTTTCTTTCTTTTTCTTTTTCGGTCTTTTTGAAACAGGGTTTTCCTGAAGCCCCACCTGGCCTACAACTCACTATGTAAACCAGACTGCCCTTGAACTCACAGCGATCTGACTGCCCCTACCTCCGGAGTGCTGGGATCAAAGACATGTGTCACCACACCTGGCATATCTTCATTTTTCTATTTTGGTGTGTGCTATTTGATACTTGTTTTTCTGCACCTTGATCTCAACTTGAAATCTTCCGTTGACTGAACTCTTCAATTTTTTCCCCCATTTCAACCCGAGGCTTACTTCTCTGTCCATTCCAGTCACCTTCAGTACTCATACTAAACCTGAGGGTTTTATGTGTGTGAAGGTTTCATGTAGCCCAGGCTATCCTCAAACTTGTTATGTAGCTGAGGATGACTGTGAACCTCTGATCCTAATGTCTACCTTTCAGGTGCAGGATTACAGGCCCTCGGATTCTGTGGTGCTGACACCCAAGTCAGGGCTTCTTGCAGGGTACCAAGCTCCCAGTGAAGCTACTTCAGCTGCCCTAAAGTGAGTTCATTGGCTTTCATGTTCAAGTCCTGAACTCTCCTCCACCCAGGCTGAGTGAGGCTATTCTCCCTACAGTTCCCTCAGGCCACGTTGCTCTTTTTCTTCTACCCTAGTCCTTACCCCATTTGCTCACGTTTCTCCTGGAGGATACTAAACTCCGGTGATGACAAACTGCGGCTTATGTCATCCTTGGATGCCATCACTTCGTAGGTGTTTGGCGTCAACGCATCCTGGATGTGGTGAGGGAAGAATGAGGTTAGAGCAGAAGCCTAGTGTGGTAATTCAGGGATTCTGTGGCGCTCCTCCCCCTCTCCAACCTCAGATCCCACAGGGAGGACTCGTCGTGTCCCCGCCCCCTGGCCTGGGCCTCAGCAATCCTGCTGAGTCATCTCTGCTCCACAGCCCCATCAGCCCCCAGGACTCCACCTTTAACCCTGTGCTACCGGCAGAGGGCGACGCAGCCTGTGCGGCACTGCCCTGCAGTGGCCTGCGGACCGGCAGGGGGCGGCCTGGGCATCCCGTGGGCCTCAGCAGCCTCACCGACCCCCAGGCCCCGCCGTCCCCTAGGGCTCTGGTGTCACTTCACAGCCGCCATCCTGTCAGGCCCCACCGTCCCATAGGTCTCACCATCTCACCAGTGACGGGCCAGGACCCAGGCGACCACCAACGCGGGTCCCGCCCCTCCAGGAACAGGGCTCCTCTCCTGGGCCAGAGCTGCTCTCCTCCTGCAAGGACTAGTTTGTCAGCCCCCTGGGCAGTGCTACTTCCGGCCCTGGGTGACTTGGCGCCTTCTGAGGGGACTGGACACAGGTCCTGTCAGGCGTCCGCGCAGGCTGCACTTCAGCTTGTCCCTCAGGTCCCCGTGGCTCCTAGAGTCGGGGAAGACGCGCCGCCCCCGCCGGGTGCTGTCCGCGCCTTTCCCGGCAGAGCTGCGCTTCCTCCTCGGCCGCCATATCCCGGCCCGAATGGCCCCGGCGGAGCAGGTGAGTGTGGGGGAGGGGATGCTGACGGGGCTCTGCCCAGGTGCTGCTGCTGGAGCTGAGGGGACAGGTCAGCGCCTCCTTTCTGGCCGGTCGGGTCCAGTCCTGTCCGGTCCCGCCCAGCCTACCCCGGCAGTGGTCTCGGCCCTTCCTGCGTCTTTCCAGCTGTTGGGAAGAGGCTGCGCGGGGAGGGCCTCGAGCACGCAGAGCTCCGGGAACTGCTGAGCCGTTGGGGACGAGATTCACTCCGTGATCCGTCGACCTGTGGATCTCGTTTTGTGCCAGAAGTATCCCGTTTTTATTACTGAGGTCCGAAGTACACAACTTAGGCATTCTGCTGACTCCTACCATATTGTTTTTGCGCAGATTTGCTTTGTTTTTGTTTTTTTTCCTTTATTGATATTAATTTTTAAGATGTTTTCTGTGTATTTATGAAGAACGCACTGGCATTTCATGGGATTGCATCGAATCTCTAGATTGGTTTTCTTAGGATGGCCAGTTTCACAAGATTAATTCTTCCAGTCTTTGAGTGTGGAAGATCTCATCGTTTGGTGTATTCTTAAATTTCTTTCCTGGGTGTCTTAATGTTTTCAATGTAGAGTTCATTTGTATCCTTTAGTAGTTGGGTTTATTCTTAGGTACTTTATATTTCTTTGTAGCTCCCGTGAATAGGATTGATTATTTGATTTCTTTTTCCATATGCTTGCAATGGTATACACAAAGGCTATGGATTTCTATATGTTAATCTCCTATCCCCTGACACATTGCTGAAAGTGTTTGTCAGCTCTAAGAGTTTCAGGTGGACTCTTTAGGGTCTCTGAGGTGCAGAATCATGTCGTCTGTAAACAGATACTTTAACTCCTTTTACTTTTGTGTGTTTTATTTTCTTATAGCTGTGGAAAGACTTCCAGCACTCTGTTGACTAGGAGAGGAGTGAGTAGACACACTTGTCTTGTTGGATGTGGAGGAAATGCTTGTTATAAAGCTTACATGATTTAAAAGAACTTTCCATGCATCTCTAGCCTTTTGATGAGGTTGATCGTGAAGGTATGTTGACTTTTCTTGAAGATATTTTCTGTCTGTTGACATAATCATAGTCAGTGGACATGAGTATTGGAACAGCATCATGCACAGGTACTTGGATGCTTCTTAAATATGAGAACAAGAATTCCTCTCTAATGGTGCAATTGCAGTCCTGGATATATACTGAAAAGAAAGGAATTAAATATGGGCTAGAGATATATACGCTCCCTAATGACTGCAGCACTATTTACAAAACACTGAGTCAACTAAAATGTCCATTAACATATGAGATTTAATAAAATCCATTTTTGAAAAATAAAGAACAAGTTCATCATAGAAAAGCATTGAATCTTCTCATGTGTGGCACCATGACTGATCTGCTGTCCATTATGTTAGGTAAAGGAAGTTGAAGCACACAAGCACTGCATCTCACCCATAAGAAAAATTGTGAATAAATGATAGATGACAGAGGCTGAAGATATAATAGTGGTTACAGTGAATGAGGATATATGGGCAATCAACAGAAGCAATACTATTTCTTATGAGATAACTAATTTTGAAAGTTGTGTGCCACAAGTTGAACATAGTCCTACAATGCCTTTTATATCTTAAAATTGTTAGAAAAGATGAGTTTGGATCTTTTTTACCATACTGTTTGGTAAAAGTGTAACATGTGGATATTATTATATATATAAAAAACATAAAAATTTGCCAGATACCCCATAAATAGTTAAAACATGCTGTCTTCCTCAGAAAATTAATAATCTCTAAAATTCAAAACCAACTAACCCTGAAATTCAGGTATTTAAAGAAATACTTGTATTTGTGCCTCCACCACAAGGTAAGTGTAAGCATTAGAGCTATTGCAGTTAACAGTCCCAGGAAAAGGTGAGGCTGATGTCAACACAAGTCATTCTGGCTGATAGCCGAGTTCAACTTCTCTATTCCATAGGATGAAAAATCTGCTGGTCTGCCTTGCCTGGGTAAGGAGGTCAGTGCAGCCCTATTCCTATGAATACGGTAGAAATCGTCAACCTGGTTGGCAGGGCAGGTGACTAGATGACAGGAAAGCAGAAACTTATACTGTGGTTTCATCCTGCGTATCTGCTGTGACAGCAGACAGTGAATTTGACCTAATTTTGTTTTCTGAAGTGATTCTTCCTCCTGTTATATTGGCAGGTTCAATGGATTTTCTGTGAACTTAAAAGAATTTTTTCCAAAGAACGTTGGGTTTTGTATAGGTAAAACTGCCTCCAAAGGAAACTCACCAAGGAAAGAGCGATGGCTTGTGCTCAGGTAATTGTTCCCAAGGGCAAGGGCCATATGTCCTTTCCTTCTCAAAATCTTTGACATTCTGAACTTGTAGCCTTTTACTTTTCATGCATAATGAGCTTCTTTCCAAATACATTTGCGTTTTCTTCTTATGATAGTATATATTCCCTCTATTTTGTCAATTTTGTTGAGTTCTTTTGTATTTCATACAGACCATCTCAATGGTATCCTCAAGAATTCTCTTAATAGCTTTCTGCTCAGCGTGGACAGTGTATTCCTTTTACATAAATTTTACATGAATAAAACGGGGATAAAAGAAAATGTTATAAAAATAACCTGTTATAATAATTCTCCAGTGATTGCATAGTGTCCAAAATAAATGAATATTATAGGAAATATTTAAAAGGATTTTGTTACTCTCCTTGCTCTTATGGAAGAAATTACGCAGTTCATAATATTCTGCATTTAAAGCCCCCCCCCCTCCATCCATATGCTGTGCTATTGAAGAATGGGTCTTTTGTACTTATGGCACTGGTGTTAGTAGACAGCTTTTGGGGAAAGTGTCAGGCCCAACCACAGCTCATACTGCATCAGAATCTATGTTTTAACAAGATCTGCAGTTCATGGTAGTTAACATTCAAAGTTATGAAGCATAGATTAACATAGTGAGACCTTACAACTGATAAATCCATGATCTCGAATGGTGTACATGGAGGATGGAAAAAGATATTCCTATGTTGAAGGCTTAATTTTAGGTGATACACTTCTTTAATTCATGGTCTGCACATTTTGAGGATATGTTGATGTTCTTTTTTTTTAAATATTTTATTATTTTTATTTTGTGTGTATGTGTGTATTGCCTGCATGTAGGTAACTGCACCCATGTCATTCAGTGCCCATGGCAGAGGTCAGAAGAGGCTGTCGGATCCCCTGGGACTGGAGTTACGGACAGTTGTTAGCTGCCATGTGGGTGCTGGGATTCGAA